TTGTCGGGATGACTCTAGAGTAGCCCTGGGCAAAAATCCCGTACCCGAAGCCCAAACCCAAACCCGGCCCGTTAGGCCCGTATTGAGCCCAAACCTGATTAAAGAGGATACCCGATCGGGTTTTGGTTTTGAAAATTCCGGGTTCGGGTAAAATCCGAAGATCCGAACATACCCGAAAACCCGGTTTTATACTTATGTCATATTTCATATATGTTGATACATATACAATTAACGATTTCATTCCCAAAAATCATCATTCTGCCCCAAGTTAGCGAAATCCCAGAAGACGTTTAGCTTCCCTACCCAATTTCGATTTTCCCTTTAAAACTCAAGATCCCTAATCACCCCAACAACAATCTGGAATCATCAATTATACAAAACTCTCAGTTTCATCCCCGAAAAGCTCCTCCTCCCTCTGAGTTTTCCAGAAATTATTCTCAGGTGAATTTTTTCTTGTTGGTCTATGTCTCTCTCTCGTACGTCTCTCTATTCATGTGATTTTTTGTTGGATTTTCCTCAGATTTTTTGAACACATCCCAGTAAAAGAAAATAATGCATTTGATCACTTCTTCTTCTTATACTATGTGTGACGTTTGACTTCCTTGATTGCAATTTTGTGTTTGGAACGACTTGATTCCGTCAGATGTATATAGAATTGAAAGATCTGTTTCCTGTTCATGATAAAAGAAATTGACTTTGGAGTTTCAAACTCTCAAAAAGAAGTAAGAGATATAACAAATAAGCTGACAGATTTAAGTAGTGCTCTGGTTTTGTTTTCAGTTATGATGCGTCCCCGGACATCGAGTCACCAAGGCCACCGTCCGTCCGTCCGAGAGCACCATCCGGCCGGTCGCATCTATCAACCGTTCGTGCAAAGTCTTCAACAAAGAGATCATCCCGACGACAACGATTCAGCCTCAACACTTCAAGACGACTTCAAGGATCATCAAGAGGAGCAAGGCGAGGTCATCTCATGATCTTCTTCAACGTTCAACCTTTCGACAAGCCGAGCTTCAACCATTCTCACCGAAGGTTCATGGAACGCATCACCACCGAGGAACCTTTGATCAACACAAGCTTTGGGAAGCTTAGCTCGAGTGCCTTCACCTCCACGTCCGAGTGAAGGCATCCCTAAGACGTTAGGTGAGCTGTACTCTTTTTCCCAACTTCGGGTTTGTCCCAATGGGTTTACCGAAGGGGTTTTAACGAGGCAGCAAGTCTAATGCATCTCCACTTTGATCCCACTCAACTCACGACTTGGAAACGTTAGTAGACAAGCTCCAAAGCCGAGGAAGTGAAGATCCTATCTCCAAGAAGGCATCCATCTTCAATAAAGCCTTCTCCATCGATCCTTATCGATCCGTTTCTATCTTCTCGAAGAATTCTCGGTCGTTTCACTTTTTACCGAGAATTTCTCGATCCTTTTACCTTTTTATCAAGAATTTCTCGATCCTTTTACTTTTGACCGAGAGAGCCGTTAGAAAACGCGCTTTCTCACTTTTCCTTTGTGTGGAGCTTAAAGACCCACGTGTCTAGGGCAACTTTAAGCTCACTTTCTCGATCACTTGTCTATTTAAGGGCAAGTCTCTCGATTGTAAAGGACACGCTTGAATGAACTACTGAAAATGTTTCCTTTTCTCGCGTCTCTCTTCGTTTTCTCGAGCCGGGAAGGCTAGAGATCGAAAACCCTTGAAGATTCTCGAACCGGGTTTCGTTAATCTTCAAGCCGACCGTATCGTGAGTTCGTTCCATAGCTCACGTGTCGTCATTCGATCCACACACACCCAGCCCGAGTATTCCTTCATTTGTACGAAGGGTACTCTCCACCCCCAAACCTTCCATCGAAGGCTCCGACGGTTTGTCGAGCTCAGTCAACGACCACCGGACGTGCATCGATCATTTCCATCGCACCCGGGGGTTCATCAAGTTATTAAGAGGTTTATTTGTTCGGTCTCTGTTTATTGGTACACATAAATGATGAAGAGATTCCGAGAGGAAAGGAAAAAAGACACACACAGACACAGCACAAGTATGTCGATGGAAGGGTTAGTAATAATAATTTAAATTCTTTACCATGTGGGCGTGCATAATCTTTCCCAAGAACTAAGTAGACCTTTTGTTTTACCATCCAATTAGATCTCTTTATTGTTCTCTCTAAAATCTCCACTCTTTTGTTTTCTTATAAATTTATATATATATAAGATCTTTTGTTACCTCTGTTTTCTTCTGCAAAAGATGTAAACTGAGATTAAGGAAGAAGAGAGAAAGAAAGAGAGGGTTTTGAAGTTATGGTTTATAAAAGAGTTGTTGTTGATGGTTGTAGTGGTGGTGTTAATTTTGTTTTTCTTATTAATGATGATGTGTAGTTGGTGATGTCTTTCTTATGTCCTATTTGTTTGAGATTCGTCCAAAATTGTTTTTCTAACATATACTGATTAGTTTATATAATTAATGAACTGATTACGTAAGCAAAATGTGTACTTTGTTCTGTTTGATTGGTTAAACAGCTTGTTGATTTGTACTTCTTTGTTTTGATTTGATTTGATTTGGACATGTATTTGAAGTCTTGCTCCTTTTCACTGGCGAGCTGCTGAAGAACTCATGCCAGCTCATCCAAGAGTCTTTGCTTGATGGATTCTCTTAGTACTTTAAATATTGCGTTCTTCTCAGACTTTTTCCCCTGCAAACGGTTCCAATAGCTTTGCCAAGTTAAACTGGAAAATGACGTCAAATTCTGTTCCTAAAGAAGATAAAGTGAAGTTGTTACCAAACCTGTTTATTCCTTTCGTAGTACTTTTCCTCAGCTTGCTCTAGTAAAACTAGTTTCTCGTCTAGTCCCAATTTTTTTTTGATAGTTTAGGTCCTGCTAGGCTCTTGGCAGCCTCAAAGGCATCTGGATGTAGATGAATCAACATGTGAGTTAGATATCTAAAAGATACAAGAAGTTTAAATAAAAAGAATGGATATGCATGCGCTTAAATATCAATAAAGTGAGTTACCATCTGAAATATGATATTTCCTCATCGGAATTGCTTCCATCTTCGTTACGATTCCAAAACTCAGAGTATTGTCCCTCATTGGTCATTTTGTTCGAGCTTGTAAAAGAATGGGCACAGAGTTTAGTTAGACTCGGTATACCTTGCTGCACAATTTTAGATATGGGTAAAGGCAAAACCTTATTTGGATGAAGATTTTGGTGAGATTACATTATAATTTCTGTTTTTTGTTTAAGATTTTATTGGTTACTACGGTTATTAAGAGCCTAAAGCAAAACCGAACCCGAATAAAAATATATATTTACCGGAATGGGCTTTAGAGATCTAAACCCAAAAAATCGAAAATCCGAAAAGCTCGGTCCGAGCCCGAACGGGCCCTCGAACGCCCAGGGCTACTCTAGAGTGTCGTCACCGCCGTCACCGTTAGAGAAAAAAGTAGGGTGACAAATCTACTTATGTAAGGCTAATATAGTTTTGTGCTAATTTGGAACATTTGAGAGTTTATGCTAGAGAAAAATGTGGGGAATGCCATGTACAATACAAAATCTTCTTTAAAATGCCATTTTTCATAACTCCTTTCAAAACATGCCATAAATCCAATGTAAAAATACCATGTTACCCTTTTCCTTTTCTTTCATTATCTTTCTCTTCTTCATCTTCTTTTTCTTCTTCATCTTCTTTTTCTTCTTCCAACAACAAATAGTTTCAGTAGAATAGATCCGACGGACGAACTCCGGCGGACAAATCCGGCAGGCAAATCCGGCGGAGCATAGCCACTTCCGGTGCCCTCTCATCAATGAAATTTCTAAAACCTAATTTTTCTCTTTTTCAATAATTATCTCTTTCTTCTTCTTCATCTTCTTTTTCTTATTCCAATAACAAGCTATTCCGGCGGACCAGATCTAGCAGACGAATTCCGGCGGACCAGATCCAGCAGATGAAATTCGGCGGACCAGATCCAGTGGACTAATTCTGACGGACCAGATCCAGAAGACTTGTTTCGGCTGACAGTTCAAGTGGATCTGATTCGACGGACCACATGATAAAACAAGTGATGCGTTTATGGTGGACAAGATTCATTTCTCTATAGATAGACAACATTCGACGAACCAATTTTGGTGGACTAGAGTCGAAATAGTTATGTCGGATCAGATCTAGTGGACCAGATCTAGTGGACCAGATCTTGTGAACAAGATTTTTTTTTTATTTTGATTTTGTTTTTTTTCAAAACATTTGCCTGAGGGCAAAATCGTCCATACTAAACTCTTTGTGGCAGGATTTGAAAGGAGTTTTCAAAAATGGCACTTAGAGAAGATTGAGTTTCAAAATTGGCATAGAAGACAAAATTCCCTTTTGAAAAAAACAAAAGCTTGTTATTGGAAGAAGAAAAAGAAGATGAAGAAGAAGAAAAAGAAGATGAAGAAGAAGAAACAGATAATTATTGAAAAAGAGAAAAATTAGGTTTTAGAAATTTTATTGATGAGAAGGCACCGGAAGTGGCTATGCTCCGCCGGAGTTTGTCCGCCGGATTTGTCTGCCGGATTTGTCCGCCGGAGTTCGTCCGTCGGATCTGTTCTATTAGAAATATTTGTTGTTGGAAGAAGAAAAAGAAGATGAAGAAGAGAGAGATAATGAAAAAAATGAAAAGGGTAACATGGTCTTTTTATATTGGATCTATATCATGTTTTGAAAAGAGTTATGAAAAATGGCATTTTAAAGAAGATTTGGTACTGTACATATCATTCCCCACAATTTTCTCTTTTCAAAACATTTGACTGAGTGCAAAATCGTCTATACAAAACTCTTTGTGACAGGATTTGAAAGCAGTTTTCAAAAATGGCACTTAGAGAAGGTTGAGTTTCAAAACTGGCATAGACGACAAAATTCCCTTTATGCTAATTTTGGATTAAAAACTTTAAATGGTGCTGTGAGAATTCTCCAATTTTTTTTATTAATTGAGATTTATTAAAGAAAATGAAAAAAAAAAAAAAAATTATGATGGTGGAGAAAAATAAAGAGTGGTGGGCAATTTTAGTTTAACTGAAATTTCTGATATAAGAAAAGCGTGGAACAACGTGTAACGCAGCTCCGGAGTCGGTGGTGGTCGAGATCCGGCGTCACCGGATCCGAAGGTCATGAAGGTTTCGAGCGGTGTGGTCGCTTCTGTGATTGCCTTCTCCACCGCTGTTCTCTCTTCTTCCTCCACTCCTCCCCCAATCTCCCAAAAGGTTTGATTTTTTACTTTTAAGATCTGCGATTTCGATCCAGTTGCTCTGGTCTAATGTGGATATGGATTGATCAGGTTTGGGAATCGAGGAAGACGAATGGGTCGGAGAAATTTGAGCCGAGGTTTGATGGGTTAAGGTTCATAGAGACGCTGGTCACAGCACACAGATAGATTTCAAATCCCATTCTTCACTTGGGTGGTTCAAAAGCTTTTGTTTTATTATACAAAGCATGAGTGCGTCACTTGGCTCTCTTAAATCTAATCATTCATCTTCAATTTGTTGTCTTCTACATACTCTCTGTATTGAGAATTTATTAACATTCTTTTGCATTCAAGGGATATGCTAAATTGAACTCTTTGTTGTGCTAAACTTTGTTTCATATTAATTACCTATTTCGTATTTTGGTGTGCGTTTAGTTTATATGAGACAAACCTGTGTGGCAATGGCACTGATTGGTGTTCGGAATCATGGGTTATTTTTTGGTGTAAAGAGTAATTCAAGGTCGTAAACCTAGGAGGATTCAGTCAATCTGATTTAGTTTAATTGTATTGGGAAGACTAGTTGAAGCAAACAGGCTGTTGAAAGACATGAGTGGTGCAATAGTCGAGAGAGAGAGCGATAGTGTTAGTTGGTGTTCTGTCTACATGTAGCTGTCCCAAATACCTAGCAAGTGTTGTAGTGAGAGCACCAAGAGAGAAGAAGACAAGAATGATCTGTCATGAGAAGTGAGAATCCGAGAGGAAGCAAATGGCAATTAAAACAAGAAAGATGCTCTCTCTACTGCTCCAGAGACACTGACTTCCAGCTCATCTCCAAACCAACATTACTCTCTCTCTCTCTCTCTTCTTTCCTCTTTTTTCATCATTTCTTTATTACTATTTTACTTTGAAATTTAGTGAATCCTAACGCTCTGGTCCCATCACTGCCTCCTCTATCATCTTGCTTACAACCACTCACTACACTTTCTCTCTCTCTCACTTCATCCATGGCTTCATCTTCTTCTGAGTTTCTCTTCTCTCTGTTGTGCCTTGCTCTCTTATCTCTTCCTCTCATCGTCTCCTCCATAGGCATCAACTACGGCCAGGTCGCTAACAACCTTCCTCCCCCAAAAAACGTCATCTCTCTCCTCAAGTCTGTGGGAGCTACAAAAGTCAAGCTCTATGACGCCGATCCACAAGCCCTCCGTGCCTTCTCCGGCTCCGGCTTCGAGCTCACAGTGGCCCTCGGCAACGAGTACCTGGCCCAGATGAACGACCCTAAAAAAGCTCAAGCCTGGGTGAAGGAGAACGTCCAAGCTTACCTCCCAAACACCAAGATCGTGGCCATCGTAGTGGGAAACGAAGTCCTCACCTCTAACCAGTCAGCCCTCACGGCGGCCCTCTTCCCGGCTATGCAAAGCATCCACGGCGCTCTGGTGGATTGTGGCCTAAACAAGCAGATCTTTGTGACGACGGCTCACTCACTGGCCATCTTGGACGTGTCCTACCCTCCCTCAGCCACTTCCTTCCGCCGAGACCTTCTCAGCTCTCTCACTCCCATCTTGGACTTCCACGTCAAGACAGGCTCACCAATCCTTATCAACGCCTACCCTTTCTTTGCCTACGAAGAAAACCCCAAACACGTCTCTCTCGACTTCGTTCTCTTCCAACCAAATCAAGGCTTCACCGACCCTGGCTCTAATTTCCACTACGACAACATGCTCTTCGCTCAGGTCGACGCAGTCTATCACGCCCTTGACGCTGTCGGCATCAGCTACAAGAAAGTCCCCATAGTCGTCTCCGAGACCGGGTGGCCTTCCAACGGTGACCCGCAGGAGGTTGGAGCCACCTGCGATAATGCTCGCAAGTACAATGGGAATCTGATCAAGATGATGATGAGCAAGAAGATGAGGACGCCTATTCGACCTGAGTGCGATCTCACCATCTTCGTCTTTGCTCTCTTCAACGAGAACATGAAGCCTGGACCCACCTCCGAGAGGAACTACGGTCTCTTCAACCCTGACGGAACTCCAGTTTACTCCCTTGGGATCAAGACTTCCTCCACTCATAGTAGCGGTAGCAGCAACTCCACTGGTGGTAGTAGCGGTGGCGGTGGCGGTAACACTGGTGGCTCTTCCAGCGGTGGTGGCATCTACCCGCCGGTCACGGATAACCCATCACCGGACTACATGTCCATTTCCTCCGCCGGGGTAAATTTTTCGACTTTACACTTGATTTATTGTTTTACCTTGACAATTTTGCTTGTGTCATTTTCTTAGACATTTATATCTAGAAGGTTTGTGACTTGCATCGGATGAAATCATCTCTGTCTCTCACTCTATTTATCTGTTTTGTTTCTTTAACTAAAGAAAAAATTTAAGTTGTAAAAGAAATTACAAAGCTCGAATGAGGGAGGATTAACATTGTGGTAAAGTTTGTGACTTTCGGTTAAAGTTGGAATAGTTTTTTTTTTTTTATATAAAACTCGACAAACTGTGACAATGTGTTTTGGATTGGTTATCACGTGGAGATGACTCTTGCTTGGTCACTTTTGTCTGAAAATATAATTGATATTGAGTGCCTCACTTTTTTGACTTGTTGACCTCATTGAATAAACGAACTATGGAGTGAGTGACATCGGCAAACTTGTTGACGTTTTTGCAGGGCAAGGGCAGATTCGTTGAGTGCGTCTTGTTCTTCCTCTTGCTTTGCATCATCAAGCTTCGGTTGTAAAAGGCTTTTACTAAAGCTTCCCCCACTAGATCTCGTCGGCTTTGTACTTTTACTCTGTTGATGACGTGATATAGCCCCTAAATTTAATTTAATTAGTTGGTGTTTTGTCGGAGCAGGATGATGGATTCAGAAAACTATGTTGTTCCAACCTCCTATCCAACTCTTTTTTTTTTTTTTTTTTTTTGCCCTTTTCCATCCTTCTCTTATTCTCGTTTAAGCATAGATATTTAAATAATGAAGCTTAGTGAATTCGAAATTTTTCTAAAGATGACATAGGGTTTTTCGATAATTATGACTTGAAGACACTTTGAGGCCAGAGTAGTGTGGCGGACAGAATCTTGGCAAAAGTAACAAGTGCTAATTTTCCAAGGTAAAACATGTGTATGTCTTTCAATAAATCACCTCCGCGGAAAATGGGCTTTTTCATACTTTTACTATCTAGGTATGCTAATTTCATATAGTTGACTTGTCATTGTGCTAGATCATACCTGAACTTATTGTAAATTTGAATTTAGTACCTCGAGATTTCATTTCGTACTGAATAATACAAAAACGTGTTAAATGTGTAACGCTGTTAACTCTCCGTCGACGTGGATTCCACGTCAGATGACACGTAAATCCATCGCTTGATGGTAATTAAAAATATGTCGACAGCAAGGCTCGAGCCTCCAACCAATCACTTTTATACTGACTACATAACCGCTAGGCCATCAACACTTAATCAGTATAAATGAACAACGCATTAATATATAGTGTTTCGTATTTCTATATAATTAATATATAGTGTTTCTTATTTCTTCTTCATTAATACTAATGATCATTCGACACTAGTGTATCGTATTTTTATATAGTATTTCGTATATATAGTGAAAAACACTATATATATTTCGTATTTCTATTTCGTATTTCTTCTTTATTAATATATAGTGTTTCGTATTTCTATATATTAAAACAATATATAGTGTTTCATATTTCTTCTTCATTAATATTAACGATCATTCAACACTAGTGTTTCATATTAATATATAGTGTTTCATATATAGTGAAAAACACTATATATTAATGAAGAAGAAATACAAATTACTATATATTAATGAAGAAGAAATACGAAATAGAAATACGAAACATATATAGTGTTTTTCACTATATGTACGAAATACTATATAAAAATACGAAACACTAGTGTCGAATGATCATTAATATTAATGAAGAAGAAATATGAAACACTATATATTGTTTCAATATATAGAAATACGAAACACTATATATTAATGAAGAAGAAATACGAAATAGAAATACGAAACATATATAGTGTTTTTCACTATATGTACGAAATACTATATAAAAATACGAAACACTAGTGTCGAATGATCATTAATATTAATGAAGAAGAAATAGGAAACACTATATATTAATTATATAGAAATACGAAACACTATATATTCATGCGTTGTTCCTTTATATTAAGTGTTGATGGCCTAGTGGTTATGTAGTTAGTATATAAGTGATTGGTTGGAGGTTCGAGCCTTGCTGTCGACATATTTTTAATTACCATCTAAGCGACCAAAACGACGTCGTTTTGCCACATCATCAATCGATGGATTTACGTGTCGTATGATCTAGCACAATGACAAGTTAACTATATGAAATTAACATACGTAGATAGTCCAGGTATGAAAAAGCCCATTTTCCTCACCTCCGCATTCATACACCTAATTTTTCTGCCAAACTTTTGTATCTATGTGACCAAATCAATCTAAGGTCCACCAACCATTCATTGTAATCTTTCCACCACCGCACACTATGGAGTAATAGTAGTGCACAAAATTTGGCTATATATAAAGTTTGCTTCCTTGGCAACTTTTCTAATCAGCCATTTTGTTAATCAAATAAAAAGCAGAGACTAAGATTAAGTATAAAGAGCAACAAGCGTTTTATGTTACCAGTAATACACATACTATGCAATGGGGGATAAGACATTCATATAGTCTATATAAGTATCCTAACAACTCAAGTAAACAAAACGGGTATTGCATTCTAAGAAAGATAATAGAAAAAGAAAAACCAGAGAAGAGAAGCCGGTTTACTCTCAATCATCCTGTCAAACAAAGTATATTTCTTGACTGAATCACAACTCACACGTTTATTCCAGTGATGACTTAGAGTTCAAACTCGTCTTCAAGCTTCAGCGCCTCAGCTGCAGCCTCTTCTTCCTCATCATCAACAACAAAGTATGGGTTATGCACCTCTGGCCTGAACTTGTAGCCAGTAAACAGATAGAATGCAAGTGTGGCCAACTCGCTGGCAACAACACTAGTCCACATGTACTTGTAAGAGGTAATGGTCTCTAGTGCATACACAACAACGCGAGTAAAGTAGATATAGCAGATAACCACGATGTAGTAATGCCTAAACAGAGTTAACTTAACCAGGTTCACAGCAGCCTTCCCATCAGTTTTAGCCGCCTCACGCAAGTTTTTGATGGACCAGACAATAGGAAACAGAACAGCACAGCAACAGACCACATCAACAAGCAAAAAGATCTGTTTCCATGTAACCCAGTCTTGGCCATATGGTCCTGTCTCATCAATAACCACCTGAGCAAAGTTAGCCACAACCTGGAGGGGAATGACAATCATCAACACCTTCTTTTCCTTGTCCTGCAAGTAGGGCTTCAAGAAAGACCAACCCGTGCCGATCAAGACGATCAAGGTGAAAAGAGTGATACCCTTAAGGAAATTGAAAATGTAGAACAAGACATCCCAGCCATGAGCAGTTCCGGTTTTCTTAATGTACGACTTATCCTCAGCCTCACAGAGAAGGTTCAAAGCTTTCAAGACAACAACTCCCAACATGAAGAAATGGATTGCAAAAACAGTGAGACGCTTCTTATAGAGAACGTAGATCCATGTCGCAGCAAGAGAGAAATAGATGACAGAGAAGAAGAAATAAACCTTAGGAAGAACAGTTCTTCCAGCAGAGAGATAATCACGACCGCCCTTCTTGCCTTCGAGGTTATACATAGCGGATCTAACGTCCATACTGATTTTGACCTGTTGGAGACAATTGGCGAAGACGAGAGAGTACTGATCTGCATCGTTCTCGGTGAAAACGGTGGAGAAGCTGCTCTTATCTCCCTTGAGATTGTTAAAAGTGAAGACATGCTTAACGAGATCTGATTGTAGAGCGCATGTGATCTCTTCTTCTTCGAGCTGTTGGATCACATGAACCCAAGCGTCTCTAGTGCAGAGGAAGAAGCCGACTTTGGAGAGATCTAGATCGGGGTTGTTGTTGGAAAGCGAGATCTTGGAGGCGTCGAGCTCGAGACGACCGGTGTGAGTGAAACCGAATTCGTCTAAAGGGATGATGGGTCGGTCATCGGACCGGATCTCTGATTTGCGAATCTCAGCAGAAGCTATGGTGATGGAGACGAAGAGAAGCAGGAGGACCGATGAGAAGCGCCGAGAGAGATCCATGGAGAAGAAGAAGAGAACTAGGGTTTCGTTGAGAGATTAGTCTAATAATCTCAGATGTATCTCAGAGATCCAAAGCTTAACACCTTTCTTCTCCTTCCGATGAAAACGGTTGGATGACCAACTTAATTAAATAAATCTTTTTGGATTTTACTTTTTTTTCTAAGGAACCATCATTTTATTAGCAATTAGCAACCAGAGCTTCCTCGTTAAGGCAATAAACCAGTCAATTTCTAGGAATTTTCCATCGAATAATGAGAATTTTCATACACTACTTCCGTTACCCATGATTTTGTTCGAAAATTGGTCGTAATTTATAATATATAGATTTAAAATTTTAGCTATAGAGAATTTGACTATAGATGTTTTGGCTGTAAAACTGTTACTATTAAAATTTGATTGGTAATGCATCATTTTTAAAATTGTGAATGTTATTTTTATTATAATTTTTTATATTAATAATAAATATAAATTATGTTATAAATAAATTTATATAGCAATTTACTGACTAATTTTTGTTTATTAATGATAAAAAAAATTGTAAAAATTAAAAAAAAATCATACTACAAGGATAAGAAATAATTGAAGTTGTAGACATCAGTTTATTTCGTTATTATGATTTAAAATAATGGAAAAATATAAAAACCGTGTATTGTCTCGAACTAACATCTTCTTTTATCACATTTGGAAAAATTAAACATTAATTAATGCATTGTTTTGAATGTTACTCCCTATATAAACATAAATTTCATAACTCTTTTACATCATCATTAATAATGATGATGAAAATAAAAATTATTATTATTGAAATGGATCTTAAAAAAAAACAAGAAAAAAATGAGAATAATTAATTTATAAATAAAATATAGAGTATTTGTTTGAGCCAGCGACTTCTGGATCCACCGTGGTTGATTTTCAACCAGTCCAACTTGAAAGAATCTTGCTTGGGAGGGAGGAATTAGGCTAGATCTGGATCGGAGGGGTTAGATCCGAATTTAACGGATTGCTAGGTCCGGATCTGTCAACGTGGAGCCAGTGTGTCGGAGAGTTGTGTATTCTGGGAGGTTTGTAGCGGGTTTGGCAGTTCGCTAGAGTTGAGGCCTCGTCGGAAACCGGATTTTTTCGGTAGGCGCTTCCATCACAAAGTCGTGGACCTTGAATCTACCGGAGTTAGTGCTTGGACTCTCTGCTATCGGTAATCAACACGTTACGAGCTTTTGGTTATGTTTCCGGCATTATTTTCCGATCTGTTGTGTTATTTTGTTGTAGGGCCTTAGCCCAAGCCCATTAAGGGGTTAATAAAAAGACTTAAAAAAAAAGCTTGAGCTATATTTTGTGTTAAACGGTTTGCACTATTTTATGTATGTTTTATTTTTTGTTTTTAATTTATTATTTTTTTGGTTTTTTTTGTTTAAAAATTCATTGTACTGGTTGTTTCTAGAGATTTAATTATCTTATAAAAAATGAACTTCAAATTTATGTGTTCTTGGTCATACTTTAAACCATAATTTGGTTATTTAATTGCGATCTCTAAGACATGTGTGTTTTCTCAAGTTTCCTCTCTCTTCTCTCTCTAGTATCTTTCAGAGAGGGGAAATCTTTTCTTTTTCTCCGATTTATAATCGGATTTTTGTTTTGTTTAGTTCCAGTGTTGTCTGGTTTATTTCCGATCTAGTGTCTACTTCAACTTCCGAACTTTGTTTCGGATAATTTTCCGTTTCTCAGCCTTTTGCGTATCAAAAATCTTAACTTTTCCTTGTTCAAGAATGATTAATTCTGGAAGTTTTAAATTAGATTCTTGTTCTACTTGGTGCTTGATTATTTTTCTTTAGAGAGTAATATCCTTGCTCTTTTTAAATTGAATTTATTGAGCGTTAGATTTCTCTTTTGGAAGATCTATCAAGTTGATGCGGTGAATTGGAGAAGAGTAAGAAGATCTGGAGTTCGTGTCGTGTTTTGATAACTCTGTGGAGATTATTCTGATCTAATTCAACTGAAGAAGATATCAAAGTGGCCAAGTTTGTCTAATTGAAGTCTTCCGGCGAAATCAGCAAAAGGCAAATTTGTGCAAGAAAGATAATTAATAGCGAGGTTGCATGTATCATTTTAAACAAGAGATCCCGACCACAAAGCGAAGATCTGATGAAAGCTCATCGAAAAAGTATGAGCAAAGGTGGTGATGACGTACGGTGAAACCAACTACTAATGGAGGAGTTACCACGTTTGCTTACACGTGTTTTTCTTTTACATAACTTATTCTGTTGTATGCAAATTGTGGGCTTTAAGCCTTAATTGCACTTGTAAACTGTCATATGGGCTTGTTTTAATGAAAGAAGTCGACAAAAAAAAAATGCGATCTCTAAGACCGTTAATGGAAGAGAAGATGGAAGTGGAAGTGACTACAACAAACAAAGGAGCAAACCTTATTGCTCAAAGTGTTAGTGGAGATATGAGATGTCAATCTTATGTTGCTATTGGACAACCTAATTGGCTTCATAGAATTTCAATGAAGAGGAGGGGTTTGTCCTCCGATTGATTGGATAGTCGGTTAATTTTTTGAGTTCATGTCAAATAATTGTTTGAAGTTAGATTCATGTGTTGGTTGCCCAAGTGTTTTGGGGTCATTGTTTTTGTGTAAATTCCTCGATCTGTTCGTAGATGGTGCTGAAAAAAGTTTTTCATATTGGTCTTTCAATCATATTTTCTACCGCTACAAAAGACAATCATAATATATGAGTGTATGCATTCAAATTTTTCAAAAAAAAATCCATTGTTTTTGTTGTTTATTGCCTTTCTTTTGAATAAACAATCATAATCCTTTAACGTCTCTTAATTTATTTTGAATCCCCCAATCGTATGGACCGTTGGCTAGGAGGAGTAACGAGGATGTTCATGGTCCACATAAAATCACTTTTAACTCTACCAAGTACCAAGTGATACTAATCTTTTTATTTGCTTTAACTATCCACTATTCGAATATACAAAATTTTGTTTAGATTAACAGATATATAAACTTCACATCTTTATAAGAATCGACTTGGTTATTAGTACACCAAAAAGCTTTTTGTTTGACAACAATACTATAACTTTTTAACCCCAAGAAATCCTAAAAACATCCTGTCGTTTTGCAAGTATCTTTATAAACACCATGCCGTTTGTTTTAGGAAAATAAAATGAAGATAAATGGAAAAAACCCTGCTCTTGTTGCTTGTTATATAAACTGCTTTCTTCCCTTTTACTTTTCCCAAGGCTTAAAAAACAACAAACACACTTTTGCGAATTCTTTCATCGATTCAAATTCAAAACCTCATCTCTCTCTCTCTCTCTCTCTCTCTCTCTGGTTCGAATTCTCACCGTCGCGTCGGCATCGCAGATCTGTACTTGTCGGAGTATATTTTTCCGTCGGAGGTATCAGATCTCGCCGATCTGCTCTAGCTGCTACTGTATTTTGGGTTTCATCGCTTTGATATTGGGGAAACGAGGAGTAGAGTACGATGGAGAATCTGATCTCTCTGGTTAACAAGATACAGAGAGCTTGCACAGCTCTCGGAGACCATGGAGACTCCGGTGCTCTACCTACTCTTTGGGAGTCCTTGCCTGCGATTGCCGTCGTTGGTGGTCAGGTTTGCATCTCGATCTCCTCCGCCTACCGTTATATGCTTGAAGATCTATCTCGCGATTCGTTCGTTTTTTTTTTGCGTTTCCAAATTGAAATGTTGAGCTGGGGAATTCGAGATTAATTTGCCCTAAACTTCGTCGTTTTCACCTCTCAACACCCGATCGTGAGGAATTAGAGTTGAATAGCTTGTACTATGTAGTAGCTTTGCCAGCAATTGGTATTGAAGAATGTGGACTTGGCTTTGACTTCGACATTCTTGTCACTAGTTGGTCTTAATCATTTAAGCTACGATTGTTGTGGAGTGGGGTTTCTATACGATTCCGTTGATTTGTTATTAATTCTATTTTTAGTACGTGCACTTTGATAACCCTATGCGGCCTTAAGTTTATGTTGTATCCTTGTTGTTTTGACAGAGCTCAGGGAAGTCTTCAGTCCTGGAGAGCATCGTCGGAAAGGATTTTTTACCTCGTGGATCTGGTAATCACACTGTTAACACTACTTGCATAGTTATAATTTGAAATTTTTTAATGAAAATATGCATTATGGAAACTGTTTGTAGGCATTGTTACTCGAAGGCCCCTTGTCTTACAGTTGCAAAAGATTGATGATGGAACCCGGGAGTATGCAGAGTTTCTTCACCTCCCGAGGAAAAGATTTACTGATTTTGGTGGGTTTCCGTTTGTCTCATTTGCAGTCCAAGTCTCATCTTCTCCTATATTGCATATTTCATATCTTATTGATTATTGCTTGTTTTAATCACTTCTGTAGCTGCTGTGAGGAAGGAGATCCAAGATGAGACTGACAGAGAGACTGGACGCAGCAAGGCTATTTCTAGTGTTCCCATTCACCTTAGCATATACTCTCCCAATGGTTAGGACCACTCAAAATCCATTTCTAACTGTATTTGCTTTTTTTCTTCATGACATATCATGCTCTAATTTTGTTTTCTCTTTTCTTTGTCTGTAGTTGTCAACTTGACACTGATAGATCTTCCAGGGCTTACAAAAGTTGCTGTTGGTAAGTTACATTAACTGAACTCTGTGCTGCAACAGAAGTTTAGGTCTATTTCTTTAACGGTGGAGCATGAGTCAATAGACTTTATTCTCTACCATTACATAGCTTAGCATGACACGACAAATTTCTTTTGGTTGATGCAGATGGACAATCTGAAAGTATAGTGAAGGACATTGAAAACATGGTTCGGGGCTACATTGAAAAGGTAAATGGAAATCCCATAACCTTTCATATTTTATTAACAGCTATAACCAGTATAAATTAGGTTTGGTTATATATAAGTAATTCCTATATTTTTTTTTGTTTCCATAGAGCAAATGAGTTGACATTATTTTGTTTTTTGTAAATCAAATTTCCCTGTAGCCCAATTGCATCATTTTGGCAATTTCACCTGCAAACCAAGATCTTGCTACCTCAGATGCAATTAAAATTTCCCGTGAGGTTGATCCATCGGGTGAGCCTTTTACAAATCAGTCATTTTTCCACCATAGCGACCCAACACATTATGCTGTCAGCCTATGTCTCTTATACTCTTTGTGATCTTCGCAGGTGAGAGAACTTTTGGTGTCTTGACAAAGATTGATCTTATGGACAAGGGGACTGATGCAGTGGAAGTAAGTTGAATTCCCAGTTTATTGAATAGCTGTACTATAAGCTAGAATTACTGTGAATACAATGCGTTGATGTTGGAGCTACCAAACATTAATTTGTGTAATAATATAATACCAACGTTTCCTCATTAATGTTTATTGTTTGCCCTGTTACTTACTCAATGATATCTTATGTTTCAGATTTTGGAAGGGAGATCTTTTAAACTTAAGTATCCATGGGTTGGTGTTGTCAACCGTTCCCAAGCAGATATTAACAAGAACGTCGACATGATTGCGGCTCGGAGAAGAGAGAGGGAATACTTTTCCAATACTACCGAGTATAGGCACCTTGCTCATAAAATGGGTTCCGAGCATTTGGCAAAGATGCTGTCCAAGGTAAATGCTTACACAATGATAGGTTTAGTTTTCTTCACCATGGTCTTTATAATAAGTAAGTTGGCATTCTGAAATTTGGTAGGACTGGTAAATAGGAGTTTCAGGGTAAGTGTTTTCAGAACACTTGGTGCTAATTTTCTTGAGACAGCTACAAAATATATGTAATTATTACAAGAACCTACTAGGAATTTAGGAAGTTTGTGGCACTCTGTATACAACCATCAGTACTGAGACTAACTGCAACATTTTTTCTTGTTGCACAGCATCTTGAACATGTGATCAAGTCGAGAATTCCAACCATTCAATCTCTTATTAACAAAACAGTATTACAGTTGGAAACTGAACTAAGTCGCCTTGGAAAGCCTATTGCAGCTGATGCAGGGGTAAGATAGTGTATTCTTTTGTCTTTGATTGGATTATTAGGTATTATGATTCACTCACTGTTTTGGTACAGGGGAAATTGTACTCAATAATGGAGATATGTCGGCTTTTTGATCAAATATTCAAGGAACATCTTGATGGAGTGTATGTTTTTACTCTTTTTTTGCTTCAAATTGATTAATGCCACAAATGTTTAAGATCAAACCATGAGTTGTAACAGTGTTGGAGTTTTTATTTTGAATCTTGACCAAACTGAAACTACCAGACAATATTGTAATTATGAGCCTATGGTTGATTACACAGGCGTGCTGGTGGTGAAAAGGTGTATAACGTGTTTGATAACCAGCTTCCTGCGGCTCTGAAGAGGCTCCAGTTTGACAAACAACTAGCGATGGACAACATCCGAAAGCTGGTCACTGAGGCTGATGGTTACCAGCCTCACTTGATTGCTCCTGAACAAGGTTATCGTCGCCTCATTGAGTCTTCTATTGTCTCCATTAGAGGCCCTGCTGAAGCATCTGTTGATACCGTATGATCTCTTTACTTTAATCTCTAAACAAAATGCACCAAACACCTAATAAAATTTAAACCTATCTTGAATGTATGAACTCTTTACTTTCATCTCTAAACAAAATGCATCAAACACCTAATCATAAAAAATGATAAGCGTCTCTCATGTTTGGTTTATTTTCCTATGGTTTAAATATTAGGTTCATGCCATCTTAAAGGATCTGGTTCACAAGTCTGTGAATGAGACTGTGGTACGTTCTTTTTTAGTTTTTGTAACTATATATCTCCAACAACTTGGTACTTTTGTAAAATGTTATAGACTGTTTGAACATGTGCAGGAACTGAAGCAATACCCAGCCCTGAGAGTGGAGGTTACAAACGCAGCTATAGAGTCGCTGGATAAAATGCGGGAAGGAAGTAAGAAAGCAACACTGCAGCTGGTTGACATGGAGTGCAGTTACCTCACTGTTGATTTCTTCAGGAAACTTCCCCAGGATGTTGAGAAGGGTGGTAACCCCACACACTCCATTTTTGACCGCTACAACGATTCCTATCTCAGACGAATCGGTAAGGTTAAACCATATAAATATATAATTATATGGTGTGGTATTTATTCCTATTATCTCTCACCTTTCACATCTGGCAACAGGATCCAATGTTTTGTCTTACGTGAACATGGTCTGTGCTGGCCTGCGGAATTCAATCCCCAAGTCCATTGTCTACTGCCAAGTCCGAGAAGCCAAGCGCAGCCTCCTTGACCATTTCTTTGCCGAGCTCGGTACCATGGATGTAAGTTCTTTCTTCCCATTTGTCTTAACATAAAGAACTGTTTCCGTGTAAACGATGAGTGAACAAAGCTGGTGTATTCGAACAGATGAAGAGGCTCTCGTCGCTATTGAACGAAGATCCAGCAATCATGGAGAGTCGCACTGCCATCTCTAAGCGGCTGGAGTTGTACCGAGCTGCCCAATCAGAGATTGACGCTGTCACTTGGTCCAAGTGAATACAGCATCATATACCGTCTGTTTTACTTGGTTCTGGTCGGGGTGGCTCAGACCCGGAACAGAAAATTAGGTTCTGTAATTTTTATAAGATGATCTTCTCGATACATGCAGTATCGCTTTATAACGTCACATTGTTTGCCCTGCCTCTTTGTCTTTTGTCCATCACCCGATATGTTATGTAGTTCTTTATATAACATTCACATTGTTTGTTTGGCCACTCTGTTCTTTTTGTCCATCACCCGATGAAGATACTCTTGAGCTTTACATATCAGCCTTGTTTGCTATGTAGATCATAATTTAGTCTGGTAACTTTTTCTTTGCCAGGAATTTTGGTTCCAACTGGTGCGCATAATTGAGTATCTGCTTAAAAGGAATTTCTAATGAACTAAGTATCGGCCTTGGGCCTTAATACATTAGATAATGTCCCAAATTAAAAGTAACCAAAAGTCACGAGAAAGGAAACAATTGCAATTAATTGAGTTTTTTTTTTTTTTTTTTTTTTTTCTTTCTTTCTTTCTTTCTGTAGAAGTTTTTACCATAAAGAAGGAGCTTTTAGGTTACTGTAATAAACTAAATCCATTTGAGAGTCGTTCTCTTCGTCGGGAAATCACCGAAGCCGGCTGTTGAAGAATTTTCTACTTGGGGTTAAACTACAGAAAGGCTCTCTTCAGGTAAGCTTTTTTCCTAACCTAAGTAAATATTTCTCCTCACACTTCATATTGTATGTTACATCCCATAAAATAAATTAAAAAAGAGTCAACTTTTAGAGTTTATACTCTTGCTGGGTTTATTATTGAATCACCTTCCCTCGTAACAAGCTTACTGTTGCTGCTACTGTTGTTACCTTCTGAAGGGTTTCTCATAATTGTGAACATGGCTTGCTTTGGAAATTCCCCATTAAAACCCATACTTAATAGGTTGCTTTTTATTTGAAGGCTTGGCTTTGTGCTGCTCATGGATACAAGAAAGATTCCAGTGTTATGCTATTGGAATGGATGTATAAAAGATGATCATGATGGTCCATCCTATCAAGGGTCAAGTCCAAGAGGGCTCAGAGTTGATAGCAAAATTAAACTTGCCGAATTGTTGGATGATCTGCATCGAATTACTGGTTTTGCAAAGGGCAAGTTTCAGATTGGTCTGATTGGTAAGTACCCTTCCATCGCTCAACAACTGATGGTCAAGTATGTGCGTTTGCCCATTGTGGATGATTGTAGTTTGGAGATGATGCTTGAGGTTCCAAGGTACTATCCATTTATCAACAGTCTGGAGTTGTATTTAGAGATCAAACCGGTTGTGTCTGTTGGCTCGCTATTGGCAAATCTTGCAACCCGAAAGCGTTTTCGACAAGAGGATGCTAACATTGATGCACATGGAAATGCGAGTATGAGAGACATTACACAAAGAAGCACACGACAGGACACTAATAACGGGTTGGTTATATTTGAGAAAGGTATGGATGATGGAAGGTGTGGAAATGGTGGTGGAAATGAGGCTGCAGAGAAGGATTCATATATGAAAAAGCCAAATCCAATAAAAGACATCAGCGATTTTTACGCGACGAAGTTGATTTTGTCTACGGGATGGCTAGATGAACGTGAGTTGCATGTTGGGATGATTTTTGGAGATAAAGATGAGCTGGTTAAAGCAGTGAAGCTGTACTCTGATAGAAGGCAAAGGGAGTACCAAGCTGACGAGTTTTTATCTACTTTTCGATGCAAGAAAAAGTGCTCATGTACGTTGCAATGCAGTAGAGGCTGCAGGTGGGTTCTCAAGGTAGCTGAAACCAAGAGCAAAGGCTTCATGATAACAGAATATGAAGGTCCACATACTTGTCAGCAAGCAGATGTGGGGTCAGATTTTTTGGCAGGTGAGATAGAATGTCTAATAAAGGCTCACCCCTCACTTTCAATTGCAAAGCTGAACGATTGGATAAAAATAAATTTAGGCTACACAGTCTCGCATTCTATTATGTGGGATGCTAAAAAGAAAGCGGCTATTGCAATCTTGGGAGATTTGGACAAGAGTTTTAGTTTATTGCCCAAGTTAATGGCTGCCCTTTGCTCCTCTAACAAGATGCTCTTGGAATGGCAATATGATCCTCATCCTGATCCCAAAGACGCATCCTTTCGTTCTGTGTTTTGGGCGTTTCAACAGTCAATTAAAGGGTTTCCTCACTGCAGACCTCTCATTATCGTGGATACAGTAGACTTGAGCGGTAGCTACCCTGGGAAGCTATTGGTTGCGGCAGGACGTGATGCTGAATGTAGGATCTTTCCACTTGCCTTTGCGATTATTACCAAAGAAAGTCTCTCAGCTGATATTTGGCGTTGGTTCTTTGCATGCATCAGAAAGAAAGTAACTCAAAGGGATGGCCTTTGTCTGATAACAAGTCTTGATCCTGACATAGTTGCAGTTGTTAAGGAGCCTGAGTGTCAGTGGGCGCAACACCGATTTTGTCTTAAGCATCTGTGCTTAAAATTTTATGATGTGTTCGGTAGCAATCTCATGGCAGAGTATGTTTCCAAGGCTGGATCCACGAAATCCGTAGCAGTTGTTGAATCCTTCTTATTGACAATCGAACATATGAATCCAGATGCTCGGAAATGGCTAGACGAAATACCTCGGCATCAATGGACTCTGGTTTATGATGATGGCGGGATGAGATACGGAGTCAGGACGACAAACTTAATCTATAGGACATATGGTTTCATAAACAACGCAGATGATCTTCCAATCACAACCTGCATCTTGCTAATCTTTGATCACCTGGCAGAGTGTTTCAAATCTGCACGTGGTGGACTTATGGAATCACTGAACAGAAAAGACTTATTTCCAAAATTTATTATGGGATATCTTGAAGTACTTGGAGTACAATCCAGAGCGCATGATGTATTGCCATTAGACGGTACCGGGGAGAAGTTTCAGGTCACGCATGTGATTGGAGATGAAAAACCAAGACTTGTTGTTGATCGCAGCGCTCGGTTATGCACTTGTGGGGCATGGCAATGTTACAAGTATCCATGTTCACACATGTTAGCGGTTTGCAGGTGGCTGAAAATTGATCATTCGCAGTATGTTGATGAATTTTACAGTACAGAAAGTTCTCTTGCAGTGTAGGCAGCTAATTTCAGTCCGCTTCCGCGTGTCTCTGATTGGCCTGAAGCTTCCCAAGTGCCAAGATTGTTTCCTCCTGGAAGTTGTCCGATATCAGCAGAGCCAAAAACTGAACAAAAAAGTCCAAGAGTGGTAAAAAGAAAAAGGAAAGGTCTGAAATGGTGAAAACCGAACCGAGCTAAATCGTTCGTCAATATGATTTGATTAGGATTGTTAACTGGTTTCTTACATCGATTAAGTTTGGTTTGGTTCCTTTTTTGAGTTTAGGAGAAGGCTAAAGACGTTGGTGAATGCTGAACCAAATAGTAAGGATTATTTTCTTTTTTTTGGGAGATTGTAAGAGAGTACACTATCGTATCGTAACTCACTGAACCACTTGTTTAACGATTTCCAAGAGATATTTCAGTCTTTAGGTCGTAAGTTATAAACCACTCTTTAAGTCTTAACTACAACCGCAGTTCGGATTAAAAAAATGTTGGTTCAGATTTCAAATTGATGAAATTTCGTATTGGTTAAGTTCGGTTGGATCTCTCAAACTGACCAATTGATGTAAAATGGGTCGGCTCGAGTGGGGTGTGAAGTTAAAGAGACTTAAAGGTTAAACCCTAAAATGTTTTCACTCTTGTCCTTTGTCTTAAAAATGTCTCTCCCGCTTCATCTTCTCCATTAGTTTCTTGTCTCTACCAAAGTCACTTGCGGAAGAAACGAACTGAATCTGAACTCTCTCTCTCTCTCTCTCTCTCTCTCTCTCTCTCTCTCTCTCTGTCATGGCTGTTGTACTCAACCATGGCTCTCGCAATCGGAATCGGAATCGCCGGATCTCGCTCCGACACTCCTCCGATTTGAAAAAGAAACGCACAATCTCGGGCAAACCAGTTTCTAATACCACAACAACATTGAGCCTTAGACAAGAATTTCACACCTGTAGCAGAGGGTTTCTTAGATTCAAATTGTGGGTTCGTGCTTCCGTCTTACTGAAAAAGAAAGCAGCAAGACATCATCCTAGCCTTGATCACTGTAGCAATCATCACAATGATTCACAAGCTCAACTTGTTGAAGATGATGATGACTGTAGCAATCATCACAATGATTCACAAGCTCAACTTGTTGAAGATGATGATGGTAGGATTCATGAACTTTCTTCCACTGATGGGGTAGGTATTAAAAAAAACTCTCTTTTCTTGAAGAAGCTTGTTGAGGAGGTGATTCAAAATTCTATTTTTCTTGTTACTTTCAATCTTTGTTAGCAGTTCTGTATTATTAAGTAAGCGCTCTTCTATTGATTTTGTGTCAAGTTTTCTCCTGAACCTTTCTTACCTCTCAAAGAGGAGGAAGTAGCTCAAGTCAAGACTGCCTTCTCTGAGACGAATAGGTATTTCTTTCTTTATTTTCAGACCATATCATGTGATTGTGACTGTCTTATTTGAGAATTTAACCACAGTTGCTATCTTTAGAATGAAGATAATGGTTTCTCATAACAAGTCCAGAATTGAAATCTGTGGAGAAGCTTTACAATGCCTTATGCCGACTCAATTGCTTAACGACGAGGTAGTACTTCTTCCTTCATTTGTTCCTCATAAATCTCATCTGTTTATTATTGTTTTCAATTACTCCTTTTATGTTTTTGCATCACTATTGTTGTATCATACTATGATGCTCTTCTTTGTTTTATATATAGGTCATTAATCTCTATCTCGAGTTGCTGAAAGAGAGAGAAACTAGCTATCCCCAAAAGTACTCCTTCGTCAAGTGTCACTTCTTCAACACCTTCTTTTACGTTAAGGTTTGCTTTCTGTTTTAGTTCTCATGCTTTTACAAACCACATTAAGGTCTCTATGACTATGTTTATCAATGTGTCTCACAGCCTATGTATTTTCCCCCTCTAATTGCATTTGTTCAGCTCGTAAGGGGCTCCGGCTACAATTATGAAGCTGTCAGGAGATGGACTAGCCAGAAAAGGCTAGGATATGATCTTATTGACTGTGACATGGTGAAGTTTTTTCCTTTACTTTTTTTTTTTTTTGTAAGCTGTAATATGAAAATCCAATTTGATTGATGATGAACCCTGTGCAGATATTTGTTCCAATCCACAACCGTGTACATTGGTCCCTGGCAGTGATTAACAATAAGGAACGCAAGTTCATGTATCTTGATTCATTGAATGCAGCTGTTCCTCATCCTACAATTTTGAATGCTCTGGTATAACTTTTTTGATGATTAAAACTCTGTCCATTTGTATTTTGGAGATGCAATGCTATGATTTATGGAACCCGGCTTTATGTATTGTTTCAGGCAAAGTACTTGGTAGATGAAGTAAAAGACAAGAATGGATATAAAATGGACATTACTTCATGGGACATGGAATACGTTAAAGAACTTCCTCAGCAACAGAATTGGTATGTAATTCCCATTTTGCTTATGTTATTTTGATCACTTGTTTGGAATATCATCTTCATTACATTATTAGCAACCACTATGTTATGGCAGTTCAGAGATCTGCTAACAGACACTAGTCTTTTGTAATAATTCCCAGGTTCGACTGTGGCATGTTTATGCTTAAATACATTGATTTTTACAGTAGAGGACTGAGTCTACAATTTAGCCAGGTAAATCAAGAGAAGACTGATACTGTAAAATATGTTTTTCTTTTCCTTTTTCTCAGTTCTTTAAATTCGTCTTTGATTCTATCTTTTGCAGAAACACATGCCATACTTCAGGTTAAGAACAGCAAAGGAGATACTCAATTTGCGAGCTGACTAATTACTTCCCCTTCTTGGTGACATTAGCTTTGCTATTTTACAAAGCCAACATTGGTATTATTATATTAGTTAAGCCTCCTCTTAGTTAAAAAATTCTATTTGGAGTGTGGAGAATGCTACCTAGCTATCTTGATTCCTTTAATTATTGGTTAAATCTTTCATTTTTTTTTTCTTTGTTGAGATGAGAAATGAAATTTAAAGTTTTAAACGAAAAAAAAAAAAATTATAAGTAAAAAAAACATGCATAGCTTAAATGATATAAATGGGACAGCGTTATCTTTTAGCTATTATCTTTACTTGTCTAAATTAACATAAGAAAGAAAAGAAAGAAAAAAAGAGGGGAAATATAATAATATTATCTATTGGGATTACAGTAATGTGTATACTTAGTTTTTTTTTTTCGCGTTTGTGGCCATTATCATCTTCTTCTTCTCGGCGAGACTCTCTCTCTCTCTCTCTGCTCTCTTTAGCACACAGAGGAAAGAGAGATGGCGAATTCTATTTCATCAATATCTCTGCCGCGATGTTTTGTCTTCAACAATGGTTGTCACAAATCAAGGCCATGGCCGAGCTCTAGCAGTCTCAACCTCAACAACTCATCAAATCCACAACTGTTCTCTCTAGCTTCTTCGCCGGCCTCCGTCGTAGAAACTGATGGTGAAAACGACGACGGCGACCTCACTTTCAGGTACCCTTCTGCCAAAAATTAAACCTTTCCCAGTTAATCCAATTTCGTTTGAATTTTTTTAAGGATTTTAGAGTTAGCAAGCATGTTAAAGATTTGAGTATTATGTTCTGTTGTTTAATTGAAAGGATGAATCTTTAATTTTGGTGAAACTGCATATTGTAATGAATCTCTTAGTCTCTACCATGATAACCTCATGAATGAATGTGGTAAAAGTGGTTGCAGAGCATGTAATTGCTTTGTGTTGTGTTGCTTAGTGAAAGATGAATATATCTATCTGTGTCGAGTTTGAGAGATTGCATATTCTGAGTCTCTCTAGACTAACTTAGAGGTGGTATGAAGCAGTGGTTGCAGAGGGTGTGGGAAAGAGGAGAAAGAGAGTGGATGTAACGGTGATGGACGGATTCAAGGTGGCATTGCAACTGTTCCTGGATTCGGTTGGTGGCCTATTAAGGCTTACAGGCCTTGTCCCGCGTTTGTGGAGTCTGGAGGTAGATACCGCCGCATAGGACAGAGCATGGACGAGGTTGCATTTGGTCGTGGTGACTCTAAATCCTCCACTTCCATAGACATCGCTGATTCACCCCTGAGGTATGTTTAATGTGTGAATATACACATACTGACATACAAATCAACAAGCAAAGAATCAAGAATTGCAGAACAACGAAAACCACGTTTTAGCATCTGCATTCAAATGCGTTCTCTAACTCCTAAACCCTTACACGTTAATAATGATCATGTTCTTCTCTCTTTGTTTGTTTTGCAGCAATAAAAAGCCGAAAAGCTCTTCTACCAAGTGATACACATATAGCTCAATCTTGGAATTTGTAACAGTACATTCATTGGGCCTAGATATATTATCGGCCCATTTGTAAACCTATGGCCCAGTAGTTAAGAACAACGTTAAGAAGATTATTATCTCATACTCTCTCGGGGTACTCCGACAAAATAAAACAAAACCCTTTAGTCGAAACACAAGCCAAAACCCTTTCGTTTCTTTGTGTCGGCGTCTCTCGACATCATCAATCAATGGAGGAAGAAGTAGGGAGAGAAGAAGTAGAGATCGATAAGGATCTGCAGAGGAAAATAGAGAAGACGGTGAAGAAAATCTTGAAAAAGTCGAACTTGTACAAGATGACAGAGATCAAGGCACGAGATGAAGCTTCAGTTGAATTGGATCTTGATCTCTCCCAAGATCCTTACAAGGTCATCGTGAAAGAAGTTGTTGAAAGTTTCCTCGAAGAAACAATAAAGGTGGTCGGCAAGAAGATTGCGATGCTTCCCGAGAAGATAGAGTCGAGTATTTAGATATTTTCAAAGAGGCTTATCTTTTTTTGTTTTTGTCAATCCGAAATTGGATACAGTTTAACTATATGATGATTTCAATGATTAATGCCACAAACTTTTCTAAGTTAAAACTAAACTGTGACTTGTTATTTCGAATCTTGATCAATCTGAAACTAGTAAAGCATCCATATTGTAATTTTTAAGCACATATATGATATGATTACACAGGCGTAATAGAGAAGAGATGATATCGGTTTACAACTCTTCCACTGATTTGAAACCGGAAACCGAAATTGTCGGTCCGGTTTAATAGGTTTCTGCCGCGAATGTCATACTTTAAGTTGTAAAGTCAAGGGAAACCAAACGTTGTTTCTAATCCACGTCAGCATATATTATTTGAAACGACGGCGTTCCAAGAGTATCTCTTCATCTTCCCTTCTTGTGTAATAATTCTAAACAGGGTTTATCGTTTACATCGCTCTTGTCTCCCCTCTGCAACTATCTACCGACGAGTCCACTTGTTCACGAGGACGAGGATAGGCCTTTTTAATCATTTGAGTCTGTTTGATTCGTGTAAGGTGAGTGACTTCGATTGATTTTATGTATGGTTTGGTTTTAGTTAATGCTTACCTCTCTTGGTTAGCTAAGGTTTTAACTTTTCCCATTAGTTTAGTAAGTATGTTGGCATATATTAGGATTAGACAGGAGGGTATCTCTTGTTTCTATCTGTGCAGTGAATGTTTTACAATACTAATATCTTTGTGAATCTTGGAAACATATATGCTCTTCTAGTTAGGATGGAGGAACTAAACCAAATCTTGAAGAATAATAGGACGGATGATCTCACTTGGTTTTGCTCTCTCTCAGAATCTGAATTGGTAATTACTTTGATCAATTTTACCTTCTTTCTTCAGTCAAGTAAACATATTGATCAATGTTTTTTTTTTTTTCAGGATATGCTCATCAGCTTAAAAAAACTAGCCATTCAACGCGCCATAATTAGTGGTCACCAAGAATTAGCTGACAAATTTGATCTTAAGTTGCTCCGAGCTCTAGGTTCTCTTCTAACTTCCGAGACTTGTAATATGTTGTTATCTATTAAACATTGTGAATAGGTATTCTTGTGAAGCTTTTTCATCGTTGATCTTATGACACAAGTATGATATTTCGCAGGGCTTGTGCTAATGGAGTATGTAAGAAAGAGGGTAGAAGATGATACTTGTCTTGCCCCAAGTGTTGTTAATCAACTCAGCCTTTTGGATAGTTGTAACTTGTTGGAAACGAGTGTAGATGGTACTATAGACACTGAGGATATTTTAACTGAAATCTGCAACAACAATTCAAAAAAGAAATCACGGAAAAGGTTTTACTTAGTACATACATAGTCTAAAGAGTTAGGCCTTAATTTGTTTATTCCATGCTAAATACTTATGTATTTCTTTCGTGTACACAGGAGGCGGTCCAAGTGAAACTGGCATTTCGCAGAGAATAATTTTGCTCGGTTCTGGTCGGTGTGGCTTAGACTCTGGAGCAGAGAATAGTTTTTTTATAAGATGATATTCCTGATTATATACCTTGCAGTATCATTTTATGTAACATCTCATTGTTTCTTCGGCCTCTTTTTCTTTTGTCCATGGACCGATATGCTTGTGATTGATTATGTGGAGCTTTGGTGTGATAATTTTTATTTTCCAGAAATCTTAGTTCAAACTTGTAGGACATAACTGAGCTTAGTACAGCAGTGTCTGGATAGGCGGGAAATAGAGAAATTGATATTCAAGTGTTGTTGTTAAGAATACAGATCATACCGTAATATATCTAATTTGTTCCACAATCAGATCATGTGTTTGCTTCAGTTATTGAGAGAAATAGTGACTAGTCTACTAATCCAAAAAACAACAAGGCCATGATCGGTCGTTTGACTAGAAGGCTGTCTTTTAATCCGACCATCTAACAACATGTTGAATGATTCAAACCCTAGTTTAAGATCATGCATACTGCATACATATACCAAAACATATGCAATGTTTTGAGGATCACTACAAGTTCCGCTATGAAACAATGAAAATGTTATCATAACCGAGGATCACTCACCCTCCTCGAAACAAACCCCTAAGAAGAAATGCAAACTAAGATGATGAAGTCTCTCACAGTCTCACCAGTTTAGTTCTTTCTCACACACGCTCTCTCATTTATAATTCCGAATAGTATAAATGAAGCTCAAGATAGAATAAGGTGTTAGAAGAAGAGAGCAATAACAGATAAACATAAAAACAAAAAAAAAAACACAAATGGATAGAGTTCATCTCATTTCTCGCTGTTTTGAGTTGTACACAATGTTATTTTTATTTATAATTTACACAAAAAAACAAAAGTGGAAATGTATTCTTCATCCAGCCCACGCAAAAATAGAACATATCTTCTGATTTCCCATACATTCTGGGAAAACACTTTAAAAGAAACCGTAAAACTAGTAATACGATACCATTTCTTCAGACAATTATTAATACTCCTCCTTATACTTATATATATATAATCGGGTATATCTCTCTTTCGTGTTAACAAAGCACTATTTCGTGTTCTTCATTGGTATCCCAATTTCAAGGGTTTTGGTCTTCGAAAATGTCCAATAGAGCAAGGACCTGCCAAAACATAAAGACTTTGAATGAATGAAAAATACAAGGAAGTTGCAAAAAGCGTTAGATTTTGAGTTATGAACTGAAAAATAAGTACCTCAGGGACACTGAGTTCAAGCCGGAACTTAGGACCGTCGTAGTGATGCAAAATGGGTCGGAAAGAATCTTCTTCCAGTGGTAAACACACTTTCCTCGTTATGGCCCTAACCTTTTATTATTACAAAAACAAACCCCAAAATTTGTTAGAACCGCTCCCTAAAACATGTGTAGACAAGAGCTTATAGAATGAATCGTAGCAGTAGTATAGTACCTGAGCAGGGAATCGAGATTCGCCTGGACATTTCTTGTCTTCAAAAGCATTCAACTCAATGTTTGTTCCTCCGAAGCTAGCTGCCTGAATTATTTTTAAAAACCATTCATTCTATCTAAGTAGCTAATTCTGACGAGTTTATAAAAATAAAACGAAAGATTGTGCAAAGAAAAAAAACCTCGTAGATTCCATGAAGTTGGTGAGTGGAATAGTTGTAAAGAAACAGAGGAAGTCCTGGAGTTATCGCTCTCACCGAGTCCCTGTATCTTGGTGGCAATCCTAAACAATTTCAACCCCAAAAAATGTCAAAACCAAAATCAATCGAAACAGAAACAGAGAGATGTGAGGACAGAGTGAATACCGAAAAGCTGGCGTTTGAGATTCTCTTCCATGGTGTCGTTGTTGCAGACAAAGATGTAACCACCAATGGTTTCGTTTCTTGGCAAAGCCTCTGCTGGAGGAAGCGTCTTGAACCTCTTGTCCAAACCACTATTCTTGTCGTCTTCGTTCCTCTGGCTACTGTTCTGATGATTCTTTCTGTTCTTCTTCCCACCTTTCTGAACCTGATGATGATCTTCATCGACTCCTTTGTTCTTCCCACCTTGCTTTAGATTCACGTTATACCCATACTTGTTCATCGACGTGTAAACCCCTTTGTTGAAATCTCCATTAACGGCGCCTGACGGTGTGTAACCGTTAACGTTGGCGTTGACTGAGTTGAATTTCCAGGTGTCGTTGAAAGGGGAGTTGAATTTGTCGGTTGGGTTCTTCAAATCAAAAGTGGATTTTGATCCGACGGGTCCGAAGCCCAAACCACCCATGTTGTCGTTGTTGTTTGGACCAGAAGACTTCCAGTTCCAGTTGGAATTGATGTTGTCGGAACTAGTCTTCTTCTGATTCTGGTTCAGATGATAGTCGATCTGGTTGATGTTCTTGTCGGCAGAGGCCGCGATGTCCAAGTTACGACGCTCTTTGAAGACAGAGTTGGTGCTCCAGATCGAGTCATTAAGCGACAGGTTCGCTAGATTTGGTGTCTGAACTCTCAGCTGGTCGCTGAACTGCCAAAAAGATTGCTGATTGTTGTTGTTATTCTCCATCTCCTCTGATTGATCTGAAACAAACTAAAAAAAAAATCTGATTTTGCGATCTGGAATTTATCCAAAGATGAAAGCTTTACGCGTGGGTGAAGGATTTGGGAGATTTAGGGGGTTGGTTTTTTTAAGTAGAGAGAATTGGTGAAAAATGGGTGAGAAAATTTATAAAAGAAAGAAGAACGAAGAAAAAAGTTGTAAGCTTTTAATTGGAGCAACTGTGTCATCCAGTAGAAATTTCCACGAAAGTCACATACCATTATTTATTGGGATATTCTTTTTTTTTTGGTTCGGCTTTTTCAAGGTTGCGTGTGAATATGACAAAGTGGATTAGTAAAAAGTTAAGTTATTAAGAGAAGAAAAAATATTTAAAGTACACCCCAAAAAATATGTATTATCCCAAAACTAATTTTAATTAATGTACTTTTTCGTCGGATGTTTTTATTTTTTTTTAATTGCTTAAGATCGATTACAAGCGGCGGCAGGTAGCGAAGAAGACGCGGTCTAGAAGAACTATTGGAGATTTTGACGTGGCAGACTTTTAGAGAGAGGAGTTTTTTTTTCTGTCAATAGTGACAATTATTTTTATTTATTTATTATTATTTGAAAATAATCAAAATAGGGTTTGATTTGTCTTAGAGGCTAAGGATTGTGGACCAAACACCAAAAACGCGTTGACGAGAGAGCGGGAGAGTGAAAGTGTGTCAGCATCAAGTTCACGACTCTCGTTTTAACCATAACACGTATTAACGAAAAACCCGGGAAGCTTCTATTGGGCTTTATTACCACTTATTATATTTGAGATTAAACAGGCCCAATTACGGCCCAAAAAGGTGACATTGTTTGTTCTTGTTCTTCGTCTTCTTCTTCTTCTTCTTCTTCAAGCCAGTGCCACAGAGAAATTCATAGATAGAGAGATGGATCCGCAGCTAACGGAGGTTTCTCAGCAGTTCGAGAGGTTTAAAACTGCTTTTGTAAGAAAATATTTCGAATTGTGTACCAATTGCTTGTCTCAGCTTAAGGTATTGTCTCCTTTATACCGTCGATATAGCAATGTCACAAAAAACAAAACTTCTTTCAGTGCTACATTATGCTCAGCTTCTGGTTTTGTGATATAGTTTTTGATTTAGTGTTGTTTTTGGTATATTCATTCTGTACTCAGATTCTTCTAACAAAGTTCACAAGTCTACCACCTTTGTTTGAGAATACTCCTAATGCAACTCAGGAATTGACAATTGCTAGTAACCTTATCTTCTTCATTGAGTCAATTTTGGTTAGAATGGTCATAGGATAGGACATTGCTGATGAGAGATTTTACTATCTTTATTGAATTACTGAAGTTTTGGGAACTGGCTCTACTCTCAGGGGATATTTATTGAGTATGCTGTTGTTCTAAGAGTAAAAACTGAGGATCAGGACGCGTTCGAGAGAGATTTCTTCCAGTTGAAACCGTATTATGTTGATGCTAGGTGACTAATGATCTTGTGACTATCATCATTATCTTATATCATTGGATGCAAATGCTTTTGCTCAAGTCAAGTGTGTTTCTTTTGTTCCTGTACCAGGAGCTGTCTTCCGCCCTCTCAGCAAGAGAATCTAATCCTTTGGTCTGAACCTACTGCGACTGCTTGTTCAGAACAGGATTGCTAAATTCCACACGGAACTGGAATTTTTTTCGTCTGCAACCTTGGAGAATCCTTTGCATCAACCATGCTGTGGAGTGTGGAGCTCGAGCAATCTTTCATGGAAGGTGCCTATAACTGTATGTTGAGTGCTAGACAGACCGCACCTGATGACACTTGCGTCTATTTCATGGATCTCTTGGCAAAAACCATAAGGTAAGAGTTAATAAATAAAATGCATAGGCATTCATTTATGACACTTTCTCTTATTTAGCTCATTGCCATGACTTTAAATCTCATTGTAGATACGAAATAGCTGGATGCAGAGAGAATGCGTACGATCATCTCTCAATCAGTGAGGGTCGTAAGATGTTGTTACTCTTCTCTTTTGATCAAGAACTGTTAACATATGTTAACGAAGAGCACCCGGAGAGTGGGCAGTAAAAGATGGTATAGTTGTGTTCCAAAAAGCCAAAGAAACCGCACCGTGCAAGGAGATACCGTCTCTGCAACTCATCAACCAAACCCTCAACTATGCCAGAGATCTCGAGCTTATCGTGTAATCCCCTACTCTTAAATCTTTCTTAGAGGGTCATAAACTTTGTTTATCATGTATGACCTACACCACTTATCCACTCATAAGTAATTATTATTCCCCAACCAATTGATTTGATGATTCATGGGACAGTTTTGGCTCTGTTCGTTACATTGAAATGATCCGAGGGGTGTTTTTGTCGTCTGGTTATAATGCAACTGATATATGTGTTATGTTATGGTCACATGAATGATTTATAGGCTCATAAAGGCAACTCCATTGAATGAGTCCGTGATTGAATTTTGATTCTTGTGTCCCACTTATGTGTATTTATTTTCTTTAGATTCAATTTTGATATTTTCTTTTGTTTATACAATTTCAAGAAAGGGACAAGAGTATCAAAATTGTTGAGAAGTTGTTTTCTCTTTAATTAACAAATTGTTGAATAATTCTTCTTTTTGCTCCATTAATTTTCCAACTACAAATCTTCTTCTTTTTTTGACTTGTGTATTTATAATTGATCCAATCATTTATGTTTAATTAATTTCATAAATATCATTTTAGTAATTGAAAAGTGTGTGGCCTAAATTTATATGCATTTCTCCGGGTCATTATGTTTTGATTTGTCGACTGCTTTTTAAAATTATTTTAACTCTCCTGATAATTAATTTAATATATTCTTTTCCATCCTTTAATGAAGTTAATTTGATTTTATTAGTTACTAAACATATAAAAACAAAATATTAACTTGTAAAGAACGTATGGAATGTGGTAAAGAGTGTGTATAGTGTCTCCACTTGGATCTTTCTTACTTACTCCATTATCTTCTCCTTCTCTCTCTCCCTATAGCTCATCTCATTAATGGCGAACTCTACATCTTTAGCTATAGTTCTTCACCAATCTTCCAATAATGACGAGCTCTTCATGAAGCAAACTCTTCAATTCTCAGAAACTCTCAAGGTTTGTGTGCTCCTTCTCTCTGCCTCTCTCTTTCTCAATTCAAACATTAGATTGATTGATCAATAGGATTCTGTTTTTTTTTTTTTTTTTTTGTCTTCATTCAAGATTCATCTTCTGTTCTGTTGTTCTTTTGGTGTTCTTAAGGATTTGAAGAATTTGCGGAAACAGTTGTACTCAGCTGCTGAGTATTTCGAAACATCTTATGGCAAAGAAGAACACAAAGAAACGTAATTTTGTCTTGTCTTTCTTGATAGTAACGAGAGTATTTTTTTACAAGTCCATGTGTTCTTGAATTTGATGAATGATGAATAATGATGGCAGAGTCATAGAGACGTTGAAAGAGTATGCAGCAAAGGCAGTAGTGAACACAGTCGATCATCTTGGTTCTGTTTCTGACAAATTCAACTCTTTCCTCTCTGACAACTCAACCCATTTCTCCACCACTCATCTTCGTTTATCTTCTCTTGAACAAGTAAACACTCAAACTCGAATCTTGAATCATCAATCTTGAATCTTGAAACTGTCTCACATTTTGTGTGTGTGTGTGTTGTATGTAGAGGATGAGACTATGCAGAGAATACATGGGGAAGAGTGGGACTCATCAGCATTTGCTTCTATTCCAATATCCTCGCCATCATAAGCGTTACTTCTTCCCTCGTATTACCTCTTCCCCCTACACAATTGACCCGTTTGATCATTATTCGCCCTACCTCTGATCAAACTTTTTTGTCTCACAGAACAAGGAAGAGGAACAAGTTTCTCTGCAGGAGATGACTCACACCGGTTCAAGAGTGGTATCTAAATCCGTTACTTTATATCCAAATTGTTTGATTCGTTTATGTTTATAAGATATCTGAATGTTTCTACTGATCTGTTCTAAAGCTGTTCGATCAACAATACTAGAAAACCTCCCAAATAACACTCCAAGGTAGAATCTTGAATATTCTTATCTTCTTAATGTTCTTCTTCTTGGATACTGGTTTTGTTGTTTGTACTGAGAATGATTTGTAAAATGCAGGAAAGCTAACAAGTCAGGAAGCTTCTCTTTTGCACCCATCGTACATAACAACATCAGCAACAAAACCCCAAGTACTACATATTAACTAAACTAATGACACTTCTTTACTTGGCTTTTGTTAGATTAATCTCAGACAAGTAAGTGAGTGTGAATCTTGCAGGTAAAAGAACAAACTCTCCTATGAGATTCCCTCTCTTACGTTCAGGATCTCTACTGAAACGTTCAAGCTCCCCAAGTCAACCAAAGAAACCGGTATGTATAGATAAATAGCACTTACAAAGATTACTCTACTTCAATTATCAAGATCTTTGTTTAGTTAATTACTCTTTCTTGCTATCTTGTGTGTGGATTATAATAAAGCCCTTACCGGAACCACAAAGAGCGATATCTTTGTCGAGAAGTACAGAGATAGTGGAGATAAAGCAATCTTCATCGCGAAAAGGGAAGAAGATTCTGATGCTCAAGGCATTGATGAGTATGAGCAAGTCCAAAAACTAAATCTCTTCCCTTTGTATTTTGATAATCACAAGATTTTGTACAAATTTAATGTGAAATAAGAGAGTAATGCTCATTGTTCCAATATTGGTGCTTTTTCTGATTATTTGATTGCAATTTCACATAAAACATACAAAAAACTATGTTCACTTTTAGTTCTACACTACACTCTCTTTATCTTTGACTTAAAAGAGTCAAAACCAATTGCTGTATTTAACTATGATCTTCAGTGACCACTACTAATCTGAGTCTATTGTTTTCTTTCTTTAGCCTTACTTGTTAGGAGTTTGAATAATGCTGCAATTAAATTAGATGTCATCACCGTTCCAACAGCCTAAAAGGCTTTAACTGGCTAAGCAGCCCAATAAGTCCACGATAATTGGCCCATGAAAACTAGTAATTAAGTTCTCGGACTTCACGAGGAGAACAAAGAGAAGACGAAGAGTTGACAAGAGTGATAAATGATGATGTGAGAGAATATGAAGCATCTCAAATGGAAGATTAAACAACAACAAGTGAAGAAGATCTTTTTTTAGGGCATAACCACCTCTCCTTTTTATATGTGTAGTAGTTAGTAACCTAAACTTACCATCTCTTTGATCGACATGGAGTATTCCTCAGTTCAACAGCTAAGGAGGAAACAACAAGAAGTGTTCATAGATCTTGATGTTCTTAATTGTCCCATTTGCTACGAGCCACTCGCTATTCCTGTCTTTCAGGTTACTTTCTCTTTCTTTTTATTATTGCATTCTGTATCCACATAATAGTGACCCTATATAGTTTCCTATGTGTGGTCATTCTAGCTAGTCAGCCTTAGTTGTGTTAAGCTGAGAATCTTGATATTGTAGGCTTACTTTGGGTTTTGTGGCTTACTTTGGGTTTTGTGGCTTACTTTGGGTTTTGTTTAACATCTTAACTTTTAGTTTTTTTTTCGATTTTTTTCATTTAGATTGATGGCAAGTTTGATATATATAGTCGAAAGATAATTTCAATTTTAAAAAGTTGGCTTAACATTTCTTTTGTACTCTTTTTGTAATTTGATAGATCGTTAATATTTCATATGTGTTTGGTCTCTCTTTTTTATTTGTCTTATTACTATAAATGTTTTGACGGAAACAGTTTTGAGTTAGTTTTACAAGTAGAGAATTCTTTCTTTTAGTTAATAGGTTTCTTCTATTCTATGTATGAATTTGATAGCAACTCCTCTGTTTTGAATTATTCAGTGTGATATGGGACACGTAGCTTGCCATGTTTGCTGGCCCAAACTCAAAAGAAAGTGTCCTATATGTGCTTTACCCATTGGTAACAAACGTTGCAAAGCAATGGAGAGTGTTCTCAGATCATTCAATGTCCCATGCCCCAACGCACATTTAGGTTGCACCAAGAGTGTTCCTTATGGAGGTGACTCAGACCATGAGAAGAAATATTGCAGATTCGCTATATGTTCTTGCCCTGAAATAGTCAACGAATGCAGTTACACTGGCTCATTGGATGATCTGTTGGGCCATTATATAACACACCACCAGCTAAAAGAGGGTTGTCTTTTCATTTTTGGTATGCCGAGAACTGTGCGGATGCCCATAAACGATAAGGTTTTTGTTATTACGATATTAAGAAGGATATTAATGTTTGCGGTGCAATGTTTTAGAGAGCCAAGTGGTGTTTATGTGGCTGTAAACTGTATTGCACCATTGGCTCCAGAAGTGGGGAAGTTCTCATATCGAATCTCCTACTCTTCTAATGGACGCATCTGTTGTAGTCACAAATCGCTGGAGATGAAGAGGGTTCTTCGAGTTAGTTCCCAAACCCCTCAAGATGATGATTGCATGTTTGTTCCTAACAGGTTATTGCGCGGTGAAGTGTTGGAGATGGAGCTTTGTATATCGGAAGTAGAGAATATGTTTGTTATTAGGTCTTGTATGGGATTAAATGATGTCTAAGTCTCTTTTGTAAGCTTCTTTTGATTTTTATTTTGCTTATCTATGTCATTGTTGTTAACTTAATGATGTTGCTTCTTTTGGTACTGACATTTTCATTACATTATTAGCATGAGAACAAGACTATGTAGTTGTTTAGTTTTTCTATCCATAAGCTCTTAATTAACTCACAAGAGCAATCTCCCATGTAACACTCTCATTATTCTACTTTTTGTTCAGTTCATCAATTTCATCTAAATAGCAGCAATCGTCATCGTTGGTTCTGTTTCTTGTAGATGCTTTGGTAGCCAATGTTGTCTTGAGTTTTATTTTTTTGGGTAAGGAGATGTTGTCTGAGTTTGGGTTGCAATTCCATAGAAAGCACACTAAAATGTGACTTTACTTTTCCTTCACATTCTTCTAATAGGTTTAAATTTTTATACTCTAGCGAGTAAAATCAATTCTTCTTTTTATTATCTACAAATTCTTTCAATAATTTCTCTCTTCTTTTTTAATGAATTTAATTTTGCCATCTACAAATTTTACCAATAATTTCTCTTTTTTTTTTTTAATGAAATTAATTTTTATCATCAACCAATTTTACCAATTTCTTTTTTTTTTTGTTCTTGTTCTTTCTTTTTATGTTAGAAGGCTAGAAGCAGCTCTGAGATTTTTATGGCAACCTACATCCAAAAATAAATAGTACTATGAGAAGTTAATAAATTGAGTGAAAATAAATTTCAATAATGCAATTTGGTTATCCCTCAATCGTTGATAAACAAAAGAGGCGCAATTGGCCCAGTAAAATATAAAAGAAGAGGCCCATTATCTAGAATTAAGAAGAAGAAACGAAGTAACAACCGACGGTCACGATTACTCCAACACAAAACCAGATCTGATTGGCTGACAGTATAGATCGTCGTAATGTGATTGGTCCACGTAATCTCCGATGACATAGTTATTATTTCTTCGTCTTCCATAGAAAGAGACTACTTCACCATCACCTTCGGGCACTTCTGGACCTATTTAAGCATCCCAGCTTCTTCTTCGAAGCTTGAACAATAGAATAAAGGAAGCTCTGTTCAAAACTAAGTTTATACGATCGAAACAAAGAGAGCGAGAGACAGAGAGAGATCGAAACGCAATAGTTTTCGATATGGCTCGCTCGTTCGGAGCAAACGGCACTGTTGTGCTGGCGATCATCTTCTTCGGTGAGTGCTCTCTCATCTTCTAAGTGATATTCTTCTTCAATTTGGATCTCTCTAGTCTGTGTAAATCATACAAATCTCCTCTGCATTGTTCCTTGGTCGCGTATTAGTATAGCTTGTTCCTGGATTTGATTGTGTTTGTTTTACAATGTTGAATTGCAATTTTACGATCTTAGATCTCGTTTACGTAGATAGTTAAAAATGTTTCTTTAGAGATTAATTTCATGGATAATGTGGTGACGAGATTAGGTTGTGGTTTGTGAAATTGGGATTGGTAGACAACTAGAGATTACAGTTTTGATTTTGATTTTGAAATTGTGTATTGAGCGATTGGACTTTCTTTTTTTACGTTTCAGGATGTTTATTTGCGTTTTCCACTGCCAAAGAAGAGGCCACGAAGCTGGGATCAGTTATAGGGATTGATCTTGGTACAACTTACTCTTGTGTTGGTGTTTACAAGAATGGTCACGTTGAAATTATTGCCAACGACCAAGGAAACCGTATTACTCCTTCCTGGGTTGGTTTTACTGACTCTGAGAGGCTCATTGGTGAGGCTGCTAAGAATCAAGCGGCTGTTAACCCTGAGAGGACTATCTTCGACGTCAAGAGATTGATCGGGCGAAAGTAAACACATATTCTCTTTCTCTTGCGTGGTTTCTGTTTGTTTCACCTTGCAGAGATGTTGATTTATTTCTTTCTTTTTGTATCTGGCAGATTTGAGGACAAGGAGGTTCAAAAGGACAGGAAACTTGTACCTTACCAGATTGTGAACAAGGATGGTAAGCCATACATTCAAGTCAAGATCAAGGATGGTGAGACTAAGGTTTTCAGTCCTGAGGAGATCAGTGCTATGATTCTGACTAAGATGAAGGAGACAGCCGAAGCTTACCTTGGAAAGAAAATCAAGGACGCTGTTGTCACCGTTCCAGGTTAGCCTTGTTGTTAATTCGGCTTTGTTATATGTGGTGGAGACATATTTATCTGGATTTGGGATTGATTGTTTATTTGGTGTTGACTATGCGCAGCTTACTTCAACGATGCCCAAAGGCAGGCTACCAAGGATGCTGGTGTTATTGCTGGGCTTAATGTTGCTAGAATCATCAACGAACCTACTGCTGCTGCTATTGCCTATGGTCTGGATAAAAAGGGTGGTGAGAAGAACATCCTTGTCTTTGATCTTGGTGGTGGTACTTTTGATGTCAGTGTATTGACCATTGATAACGGAGTGTTCGAGGTTCTCTCAACAAATGGTGACACTCACTTGGGAGGTAATATACTTGTACCCACGAATGAATCGTTTTCAATCACTTTTTGTTCAATAACAGAGGAGTGTTTGCTTCAGTGTTACGTTGGTGCTAACCTTTTGTTGTTATGATCTGCGCAGGTGAGGACTTTGACCACAGGATCATGGAGTACTTTATCAAGTTGATCAAGAAGAAGCACCAAAAGGACATCAGCAAGGACAACAAGGCTCTTGGTAAGCTCCGAAGGGAATGTGAGAGGGCAAAGAGAGCTCTTAGTAGCCAGCACCAAGTTCGTGTTGAGATTGAGTCACTCTTTGATGGTGTTGATTTCTCTGAGCCACTCACCAGAGCTCGTTTCGAGGAGCTGAACAATGACTTGTTCAGGAAGACCATGGGACCTGTGAAGAAGGCCATGGACGATGCTGGTCTACAGAAGAGCCAGATCGATGAGATTGTCCTTGTTGGTGGAAGCACCAGGATCCCAAAGGTTCAGCAACTATTGAAGGACTTCTTTGAAGGTAAAGAGCCAAACAAGGGTGTGAACCCCGACGAGGCTGTTGCTTATGGTGCTGCTGTTCAGGGTGGTATTTTGAGCGGAGAAGGCGGTGATGAGACCAAAGATATTC